TTATTTAAATATAAAAAATAAACAAACTAATTAAACTTTACCAAAATTTAAATAATTTTTAAATTTTTACGATACTTTTTTAATAAAAACTTTTTCATTAAAATTTTTCTTTACCTAAGCAGATTCCTATACGACATGGCAATAATATTGTCAGACACAATAACACATGTCACAAGTTACGTAACCTAGTTAATATTGTTAACATAATAAATTGTCAATCGTAAAAGTTCTATATATGACCTAAACAGTGTCTTTAATGAAGATTAAAGAATGACATTATAAAACAATGAGTATTTTATTGTGGCTTCCGTTTCCTCTTGTAGACATCCCTTTTATGTGTATTTTACATCTCATATATAAATTGTCTTGCAAAATTAAGTAAAAATATTATTAGATTTTTTTTTTCCTTTTTGTAGTTTCTAGCAATTATTAATACAAATTTAGAAATGTAATAGCATAGTTAGTGAAATCACCACACCTATAAATCGATAATCAAAGTTAAAAACAAAAAATAAAATAAAATAAAATAAGGTTAACTTGAGCTTAATGTAATTATTGGACTTTAAAGGCTTGAATTTATAAGGGAATGGACCAGGGTTATCAATCTTGATATGTACCAGATTTGGCATAAAATTGGTACAATATGGGGCCTCATATTAATTGTTCCAACAAAATTTTCAGCTCTATCGGCCAAAATTCAACATATTGGTCGGTATTTTATGTATGACTGATATTGTCGAATTTGACTGATACAATTATAAACAATAAATAGTTAAAAAAATCCACAAGTTCTTAAATGATGTCATTTTAGGTATTTGGGACTAAAATTAGAAACAAAAAGTCAAAAATCCTTAAAACATCTCATAGACTCTTCCTCATCCTTGGCTCCTTGCCTCCCCACTCACATTTTGTAGATTGGCTCCTCAAATCTCAGCTCATTCCAAGCAAATCGATACATAGTCCTAAGATGATGCACAAAAATAGTCGCCTAATATATATGTTTGATTACTTGTATATTATCCATTTGTTCATAAATTTTTTTAGTTTCTAAATCAGTAAATCTACTTAGTGCGTGAACATACAACTGCTGTTTGTAATTAATATACCTTGAATCTATAGCTAATCAATTGCAAATCTATTTTCATTTTCTCCTTCTCATCCACATGATGTTTGTCTTCGTCCAAGTATTGCTTGCTTCTTCTTCTTTTTTTTTTTTTTTTTGGCTAGTTGTTGCTATTTTTTGAATTTATCTGGTTTGAAACTTTGAATGCTTATATTTGTTTTTTATTTTTATTCTTTTTGCAAATCACAATTCTTTTCTTGCTATTTCAGCATTTCTTGCAATTTTTTTTCCATTATGAGTTTTCATCATTTTTTGCCGAAGCATTATGATTTTTGTCTTCCCCCTTTTTTTTTTCTTCAATCATTTTAGAATCTAGATTTTTTTTAAAAAAATTGTAATCTTATTTTTCTTTTTTAGGATATCATGCAAAGTAATGCTTGAGGTATAACTACTAATACAGGTGATGATTCTGCTGCATCTGCCCCATCTAGAAGTAGAACAGATGATCCAGCTTGGGTGCATTGATGATCCTAAAGTGCTACTCACTAGCCTTTGTTTTGAATTGGTCGAAATGAAAATTATGAACTTCCTCCATTTGATGATCTTTTGATTATATCTATGATGATTAGTGATATTTTATTAGTTTTGAAACTTTTGTTGGTTACTCCTTTGTATTGCTTTTTTTGTTTAAAAGTCAATTGGTAAGAATTTCTAAAGACATATTATGAATTTGTTTCTTTTGGACATACCTTTTAGGTTTAGAATCTTACCTTTATTTAGAGTTAATCATTTTTGTATTTATTATGTATATATTATTGCAAAGTTATATATTATAATTTATATAAAAATTGTGGTAAATCTAAAATGATACATGGTATATTTTATGGTATTCAATACGTATAATTTTAGTAATTAAACTAGTATATTTAGTTTGACAACCTTGAATTAAACTTTGTATGGTGCTTGCGTTAGGTTTTTTTTTTTTAAGTAATTTATTGTTCTTAATTTTTTAATTAATTATTTTAGAGATTTAAAGATTAAAGGTCATAGATTTAAAAGATAGAACAATTCCCACAAATTAACATAGGGATTATTTGGATTAATTTTTTTTATATAATTAATAATTAATATTTAAAAATTAGTAATTATTATGATTTATAATTTAAAATAATTAATTAATTTAATTAAAATTAAATGCTAATAACTGTTTATAAAAAATCAAAATAATTAATTGTAATAAATTGGAAAGCCAAAAAAAAAAAGAAAAAAAAGAAGAGGCTAGCTGGTCATTTCAACAAGAGCAACCTCCACAATCTTATTGGTCAATAGTGAAACCCACGGATCGCAGACGTGGCAGAGACCCCAATTCTCGTGTCCCACTCCAAAGCAAAACTCTCATTGGTCAGAAATGGACGACAAGGATCATCATGCACAAAATAACAACCGTCCGATCTAAAATCAATAACTTCACCACACCCGCAATCCGACGCGCACGAGGATCGAACATCCCGTATAAATTTCCTCACACGTCGATCCTCGTCAATTCCTCACGTCAAAACCAAAAAGCTAAAAAAGCCAATCGTTCCGTTTTTCAGGATTTCCCATTTTCCCTCCAAAACAGGATTTCGTCGTTCTTGCTTCCGATGGAGGTTTCTTCGAAGCCGGCGGGTGGAAGGAGTGGAGGACAGAGAAAAAAGGCCGTTTCGAAGTCGGTGAAGGCAGGTCTGCAGTTTCCGGTCGGTCGGATCGCTCGGTTCCTTAAAAAAGGCCGGTATGCGGAGCGCTATGGCGCCGGTGCACCCATCTATCTCGCCGCGGTGTTAGAGTACTTAGCCGCTGAGGTACATCCGTATGTCAAAAAAAAATCCATTTGGTTTCGATATTGTTCTCGCGTTTTCAAAATTTACCATTGAAAACGAAGGAAAATCGGAGAGAAAAAGATTTTCATATTATCAGTGAATGGTTTGTTTGATTTCCGAGAAAATATTAGAAACACTTATTCATCTATCGGTTTTTAGATCCTGAAAAAAATCAGTTTGATTTGTCGAATATTTTTCACTGTTTCAGATCTGAACCATCAGGTTATTCCTTTTTTTTTTTT